AAATTTGGTTTCTAAATAAGATAGCAGTGTTAAATAGAATGATTATCTCCCATCCCCCTCACTCTGATGCATACTTTAAGAGCTAACAGAGTTGTACCAGAGTTTAGTTACAAGGAGCTTACAGAATACTTAGGGAGGGGGCTGGCAATCGATGCGCGTGTACTCTCACTTTAGCTTAGTAACCTCAGGACAGATGTGACAGGAAGGCCTTTTGGATCGATGAACTAGGTAAGCACACAGAATTAGGGACCACTGTTCTCCCTGAGCCAATTCACTGATACTTAGTATGAACCCAGAAAATCCTTGGGGGCTTCTGTTATTTTCTTTTCAGAAATTTTTAAAACCATAAAAAACACAGTTATGTAACAGTCAAAGATTCTGTTACTCACAATTGACAGTTAACATTGCCATAATTACATAAATGTTTTTTGTTAACAAAATAAGTGAAATAAAACAATACAGAAAAAGCTTTGTTCTTTGTATCCCATCTCTAGTTCTATCATGAATTTAGAGTAAATACTTCAAGTCTCTTTTTATATTTTTAGTTATATATATTTATATACATGTATATATATGGTGAAAAGTGTACAATTTTTTTGTGTGTATTTAAAAAAATTTTCCTAAGGAGGAAACTGTATTTTCTTTTCTTTATTCCTTCTAAAAAAAAAAAAAGAATAAATGTGCACAATGTGCAGGTTTACATAGGTACACATGTGCCATAGTGGTTTGCTGCACCTACTGACCCGTCATTCTCTAAGTTCCCTTCCCTCATCCCCACCCCACAACAGCCCTGGTGTGTAGTGTTCCCCTCTCTGTGTCCATGTGTTCTCAATGTTCAACTCCCACTTAGAGTGAGAACATGCTTCACTAGGAAACTGTATTTTCATCTTCATCAAAGAATTCTTTAAAATATGAAATACTATTTTTAGTCTTTGATTTTTTACATGTAAGTTGTTGAAGTTATTAAGATGCAGCTTTGGGGTAATTATGGGGGCAAGATGAAGGAGTTTAGTAGCTGAGCAAATTCTGGTGTAAGAAGTAGTTACTCTCTGCAGACTCAGTCCTACCGAAGGCATATGTAGTGTTAATCTCCAGTCTTGTCTGTTCTGTGGTCAGAGATGACCTATAAATACTGTTTGTATGAAAATAAATAGTTGAACTTATGCATTTATAGTCAAGATATAGCCATTTATATATATGAATGGTAGTTAAGTATATAGTTAAATTTAAACTGTTTTGCTTTGATTCAGATACATAGTTAAACATATACATTTATAGTAATGTGCATGTAGTATAGAATATCTTCTAGTTATTTACCTTTGGTGGAATGGGTAAAGGTGCAGTACTTCTTATGAATCTAAGGGTCATTACCCTTGTATTGTGATCCAATAAACTCTGTTCTTTCCTTAAGCAAATGCTTGAGATACTTAACTTTGGCATTTAATAGTTGTGTTTTTATCTATGTGTGTTTCCTCTTAGTAGATTATGATCTCCTCGAAGGCAAAGGTAGTGTATTTTATTTATTTCTGTACTTTCAATAATACCAAGGGCCAACTAGTCAATGTTTTCTGTTAGACTAGTCAGTTTAGTTCATGTAAAATGAAGAAAATAATCATCATCAGATTTATCTGTGTTCTGAAGCTGTAAGGAAATTAAAAACTGAAAGCAATTTTAATAACTGCTTAATAAGTTCAATAACTAGAGCAGCAAATTTGAACAATTAGACAAAAAGTAAATGTGAAATACTGATATTAATTTCTCAACTATTTCAGAACAAGTTGTGTGTATCTTTTGAAATAAACTCTAGAACCAATAGATGAGCTGTGAAGTGATATCTAAGAGAGATGGGTCTAAGAAATAGGCTCAGGTTCCAAGAGGAAACTCTCAATATGATACTTAGGACTATTTATTGTTAATGATATGGTGGATTGGATTGTCAATCACCAATTCGGGCCGTTCTCAATTTAGAAAGAGATTATGCTGCAAATGTGCTTCATTGATTATAACTTGGAGTATATTTTCCTTATAGAAAGAATGGTACAAATGATTTCCATATTAGCATTCTTCTGGTTTTGATACAATTGAATGTATTTTTTCTGCATTTTATGAAGAGTAAGTTAATAATTACTAGCATTTTTTCATAATACATTACTATTAAAGTAACAGGAATGAAAATATATATTCAAGTATATGTTCTTTTAACTTTTCATTTTTTGCTAGTAAAATAATATCTAGAATTTTATTTACTAGTAAAATTTAAAAAGATAGGCTGGGGGTGGTGACTCATGCCTATAATCCCAGCACTTTGGGAAGCCAAGGCAGGTGGATCACCTGAGGTCAGGAATTTGAGACCAGCCTAGCCAACACGGTGAAACCCTGTCTCTACAAAAATTCACTGGACCTGGTGTGCACACCTGTAATCCCAGCTACTTGGGAGTCTGAGGCATGAGAATTGCTTGAACCCAGGAGATGGAGGTTGCAGTGAGCCGAGATTGTGCCACTGCACTCCAGCCTGGGTGACAGATGAGACTCTGTCTCAAAAAATAAATATATAAGATAAAAAATAAATTTAAAAAGATAGCACGTTTAAATTTTCTATCATTGTTTATTTTTAGAAAGTACTTTCCCCATTAATCTTACCACTTCTGCAAACACTAACAAGTAGTGTGTTCTTCTTGGAAATCTATTGAGTAGTTCCCAGAGGTAAAGCCAGATAGATCTACCTCTGAAATATTCTGATTTATAATATCCTTTAAAGTTTATCTGAAATATAATGTTTTAGGACCTCATTTATGTTGTCAATGAATTTTTAGAATATTGAGCTCATTTTCTTTCTCTTTGCTCTAACCATGTAAATGTTCTTGGTATATATTTGGAGGAGGACTTAAATAACAAGAATTGAAATGATGGCAGTCATAGCTTTTATTTATCTGTTTATGCCAGATACTTAAACAGAAGCCATTATTATCTCTATTTTGTGTATGAGAAAACTGAAGCCTAGGTTAAAGGATTTGCTCAAGTCACACAGTTAGGGAGATGCTGAGTTAAGATTTAAACCCAGATTTATCTCATCTCCAGAGGCTGTGATCTTCGTACTGCACCTACTGTCCCAACAAAAGGAAGACTTGGACATTTCCAAATGCTGCATATTTTGAAAAGAACTTGGGATGCAAATATTAATATTACTGGTTTTTTTTCATATCAAAGAATGATATAACTTTTGGGTAGAGTGATTAGAGAAGCAGGGTATAAACTATTCAAACCTAAGTATAGTATTTCGTGCATAAAAAGGTGGATTTGGAGCCATTAGAAGGCCTACCAAAGTCAGGTTCCAGATTCTCTCTCTTCTCATTCTGTTTCATGCTGAACTTTCTTGTTAAATGAACGATTTGTAAGCTGACCTGGGAAAAAGAGTGAGAGCAGAACATGTCTTACCTGGGAGATTAATAGTACTAGGCAAATAGGGAAGTAAGCCTCATTGAGTCAATAAAACGCTTTCAATAACTGTTTGCTGAACTTCAGGGAGCACTGGTAAGCAAGACTGAATTGTAAACTAGGAGTGCATTAGGAGTAGTAGAGTGAGATAAATAAACAGGGATGTTGTGGAAACTGAAAGGAGAGCTACTTTACTCCTCATGTAATGAGTTATAAGAAGGTCTCTCAAAGGAGATAATGCTTGTTTCAAGTTTGTAGGATGAATAGGATTTAGACTGAAAGGGAAGATGAGCAAAAAAAAAAAAAAAAAAACCATGTACAAACAAAATGGAAGAGTAGTTTTTCAGAGTTTGGGGTGCCTTTTGAATGAGCCATACCGATTATAATTCCCATCAATACCTTGCAAGTCATGAGAGCAAGAAATTCAATGTTCAGTCATTCAAATTTTAGGAAACAGTTGACTGTCTTGTGATATTTTGAAATATTATACCCTGACAATAGGTTGTGTATATGTTCATAGGGAAAACCTATTCAAGTTTTCTGCATTCCTAGATTGTTAGAGCAGCCAGCATCCTCAGAGATCATCTCGTCAGTTCCAATTTTCATTCAACAATAACATTTGCTGTGTATTAGTCACAGGACACAGATGAAAAGATGGATGGACCTTGTCTTCAAGGAACTCACAGCCTAAGAGAGGAAATAAACATACAAACAGACAGTATACAAGTTTAATAAAGTGCTATAATTAAAGAGTCAGGTCCTGTTTAGACACAGGAGAGCTCATTAATTTTTTTGAGGATTAGCTAGGTAAAAGTTTTAATTAGATCTTGAAGAATCTCGAAAAGCAGTTCATTTGTGACAGGGAGGGAGGATATTTCAAGTCGGGGGTGTGTTGGTTATTTAAAAGATAGTTTTTAACATTTCTACTTAAGTTTTTCAGTCTGGGTTCTTCAAATAAACAAAGATTATCTAAAATAATTAAGCCATGTCATGACCTTTTTTAGTTGTCTGTTAATAATATAAGTTAGCCTAAGCATCTGGTTCTCAATGTGTGGTGCTGGGACCAGTGCATCAATATCTCCTAGAAACTTAGAAATGCAACCTCTCAGGCCCCAACCTAGACCTACTGAAACAGAAACTCTAGGGTGCAGAGCCCAGCGATCTGTTTTCACAAGACTTCAAGGGAATTCTGATGCATGCTCAAGTTTGAGAACCACTTGCCTAAGCTAACAGTAATACATGGAATCATTGAAAGTTCATAGACTTTGAGGATTTGGAGACCTGAATTTGAATCTCACCTCTCCCACTTAATAAGTTTGTGACTGCTAATCTGTCACCTAATATCTATGAGCATTGAAATTTTCACTTATCAAATGCAGGTGATAATGCTTTCTTCTCAGATTGTTGTGAAAATTGGTGAATATAGTGAGTGTCTAATATTATAACTGGCACACTGTAGGCTTTTGATAAATGGTAACTACTTTTATCATTATTGTTATCTTTTTCTTGATACTTTTTCAGTGATTACTTACTGAATGAAAACATCCTCATATTTTTTCTTATAGATTCAAATGCTCAAGAAATTAAGGACATCTATGGCCTGAATGGACAAATAGAGCACAAACTAGCTTTCCTGAGAACTCATGTGCCAAAGGACATGAAGCTTGTGCTCATTGGCCATTCGATAGGCAGCTATTTCACTCTTCAGATGCTGAAGCGAGTCCCTGATCTCCCGGTAAGTAGGCCTCCAGAGGTGACTGTGGGTGCTTGACTATGTGTCTGCACAAATCCTCCTCACCTTTCCTATGCTCTTTTGTCTCTTGTTTAGTTGATGAATAAAACAGGGAGAGGGATATTTGGTTGCTGCCTTTACTCTCATCTCCATATTACCATGGGCTTATGTGAATATGTGTTTATAATGTTTCAAAGAATAATGCCTGGGGAGATAGGAAGTTTCTGAAAGAATGTTTTTGAATCTAGGGTTATCTGGAGTTCTTACGTTACATATTACTTGCTGTTTTTTATCAAGAAATATTTAAGAATAGTCACTAGGTAAGACCTAAACAAGAATCTGTCTTTTATGGGAGGGTATTTTATAAATATTCTTGCCTTCTCTCGGAAGGAAGAAATGTGTCATCATCATCACGGATAGGCAAACAGCTGCCTTTATGGGACACACTATGTCTTTATTAAGTCATAAATCCAGATCTTTACCTGTTCTGTATCTTGGAAGCCTTTTTGAGCCACACATTCACAAATACTCACAAATATTTATTGGGTACCACTCTGTGCCAGATACTGAGTGAGGCACTAGAGACACAAAGACCTATTTAAAGTGCCCAGGAAAGCAAGTGAACTATAAGAGATGTAAAGCAAAACAAAAACTTGTACTTTCACTAACATATACCGTTGAAATAACTTGCTGAATGGATGCAATTCACAAGATAATTCATTTCTTTATTCAACAAAAGTATATTAAGCCTTTTCCATGTGTCAGATCCTGTGCTGTTTTGAGGACATCCCCGTGAGTAAGAGAGTCTTTGAAGTAGGAGAGCATGGAGTCTGAGGAGACAGTCTAACCAATAGATGTGATACCTGCTGCCCTGTTTAAGTTCAGGTGGTGTGGGAGCATGGAATGCTGTTAAACCCAGTAATCTGAAGCCAAGATAGGACATGATCCCTTTGTGGCTGCTTTGTGCTAGGATTTTGACTCTTTCTCACTGCATGGGATAAAATGCCTTCAGTGGGGTCTCAGAGCTCACTAAGTGTTCGCTCCTTTTCTCGCCAGCTTGTCCTGCTTGCTTCTTACTCATAATTGTCCTTGGGAAATGTACAACTATAGCCTCCCTTGCTGTGGTTTTTAATACCAAATGGAGGTTTTAAATTTTCTTTTATTGGGTATAAGAAAACATATTTTTCATTTCTAAGTGTGAATTCAATAAATTCAAGGTTGTACTCCACTCACTGTATTATTGTCTACTCTGTTGGGTTTCTTCCCTAAATAAGATATCTTAATCAGAATGCAGGCTTTATTTTTGCTTTTAGCATTTTCCACAGCTTCTAATCTCTTTTGTGCCTTTGAAGCCTCCTCTATTACTGTGTCATGTGGTTGCCATCTTTATGGCGTCCAGCAGCCCTGCCTCTTAGTGGTTCCACTTCTGTAGTTGCTGTCAGTTCTGGCACTAGAACCAGGACACATAGGTTCCAATATTTATTGTCATTTTTTTTTAGTCTGTCTGATCTTAGACAAATTATTGAGTCTCCACCTCAGTTTTGAGTCTCAACCTCAGTTTCCTCATTTGTAAAATGGAGATAATAATATGTTCTTCAAAGGATTTTTTGTGAGGAATTATATAAAGTATTGAGAATGACATCTGGAACTTTAAAGTTCCAAATAAGTATTAGCTATTATTATTAGGGAATAACTCTAGAGTCATTGTCTCAGTCATTAGGTTAACTACCATATTAGGTATCTACTGCTGTGTATCAAACTGCCCCAAAACTTAGCAGTGTAAAACAATACGCATTTCTTCACTCGTAGTTTCTGGTCAGAAGTCTGGCCACAGCTTAGCTGGGTTCTCTGCTTCAGGGACTCTCCCAAGATTTTAACCAACATGTCTTCCAGGGCTGCAATCTTATCTGAAGGCTTTAGTTGAGATGGATCTGCATCCAGGCTCACTCCTGTGGCGATTGACAGGATCCTGTTGATTGAGAGTTGTTGGACAGAGGGTCATCATTCAGTGGTGGCAGTTGGGTAGAGGCCACCTTCCTTAACACGTTGGTCTGTCTAGCTTGCTTTATTAGAGCAAGCCTGGAAGAAGAGCCAAGGAGACAGCCTGCTAGCAGATGAAAGTCACAGGCTGTAACCCAGTTACAAAGTGACATCCCATCACTTTTCCTTTATTCTTGTTTGAATCAAGTCACCAGGTCCAGCCCGCACTCAAGAGAAGAGAATTACACAAGGGCATGAATACTAGGAGGTAAAGGGCTTTGGGAGCTGTGTCAGAGCTGCATACCCCACCGCTCTAAAATTAGAATTTCACTGTGTGTTATGCAGTCAAGCACATGGACATGGGATGTACATAAATTAAAGTACTACATTTATTTTCTGGTATAGCAGTGACTTGATCCTGTCAAAAAAAATGTAGCAAACTGACATGAAATATAATTATTTGTTGTTAGTTGTTCCAGGTGTCCTAAATGCTTTAAAAACATTAAAAAGGAGGGCCAGACACAGTGGCTTACGCCTATAATCCCAGCACTTTGGGAGGCCGAGGCAGGTGGATCACGAGGTCAAGAGATCGAGACCATCCTGGTCAACAAGGTGAAACCCCATCTCTACTAAAAATACAAAAATTAGCTGGGTTTGGTGGTGCACACCTGTTGTCCCAGCTACAGGCCCAGCTACTTGGGAGGCTGAGGCAGAAGAATTGCTTGAACCCAGGAGGCGGAGGTTGCAGTGAGCCGAGATCGCGCCATTGCACTCCAGCCTGGGTAACGAGCGAAACTCCGTCTCAAAAAAAAAAAAAAAAAAAATTAAAAAGGATACTTACGTATTTGAAATAATAGCATTACTATTCTGTAAGCATAGAGAAGAACACACTCATTTCTGAGCTTATCACAGGCTAGTATCAATCACAGATCTGTTTTGGTTTTTGTGTTTGCTCCAGATCTATTCTGCATGTGATGTGTGGTTTCTCTTTTGTGTATTTGAAAATGATTGTTCAACACATTGTCTTGAACCCTTCTCTCTTTTGGGCTCATATTCACAATGTCTATTGGGAAAGAAGTAGAATGCATCCCAAGGTTAATGTGCTTTCTTATAGCTTTTTCAGCGTCAGAACTTTCTAATTATTGTCCTGCCTTCAGGTGTCCTTGCTCTTGCAGGAACAGTGGTGAAAAGGGGAAACAAAGATGGAACATGAGCTTAACCTACTTTATTTGTGGAGACATAACTGAAACTGATTATAGAGTTTTCAGAAAGACTTGTGAAGCTATGTTTTATCTTCTTAAAAAGGGTGTAAGCTAGAAAATAATGTGTGCAATAAATTGTCCAAAAGGTTGCTTATTTGGGGGGATGGTGGGAGCAGTGAACATCTGTATGATTTTTAAATTATTATTCAGAAGCATTATCTGGTTTCAATTAACTACATTGTTGAAATTCCCCACCCCATCCCCAGCCCCCATTAAACACCTGGGTCAGTGAATATTGGTAGTGTGATCCCAGCCAAAGTGTTGAAATTTCAGTATCTCTGGGCTGCATTCAGACACCACAGTGCCTGCATGCCTGAAGTTAGCATGACATGCTCCATTTAAGATGCATTTGACAAATAAGTTTGTGTAAGCCAGAATGTTACAATCCTTAATCATTTTACCAAAAATAAGTTAGCTGTTATGTTTTATAACATATGAAGTGTGATAATAAGAAACTTGTGTTTCCATCTCTTCTGTTATTTTTACTGGAATATTTGACTCATAAGATTTTGAGGACATATGTGTAGTTTAGTAGCTAGCTGGTTTATTTAGTTTTATTTTGGTTCAGCTCTTTGCAATATTTTCATAACTAATTATAGGCTACTTGGTCTTAAATAATTTTAAGAGACTTATTGTATATGTCAGATATATTGCCTGACCTGTATTTTAATATACTAAAAAAAAATTGCCTGTTTAAAAAAAAATCTGGTATTTAAAATTATTTGTTTATCTAAACAAATTCCATACATAGAATTGAGATATTCTTCATATATTTTGAAACTATTACTCAATATAGGGAATTTAAGGAGAAACTTGAGCAAATAGATAGTTGGAAGACTGTTAAATGGTAGCTATCATGACTTATAATAATAAACATAATTGTTTTTAGAGTTATAGGATCTTAGAACTGAGATAGGCTTTCAGATTTGACCCCATCTTTCATTTTATCAATGGAAAGTGAGAGAAAGGTCCCTTGCTGGGATTCAGCCTTGGTTCTGAATCTGGGGTGGGGTATACTGGTATTAGCTGTGAGTATAAAAAGAATCTAAGAAGGTGTCGATGGCTCCTTCAGCCTGTGGATGATAGCAGTCAGCACGTCCTGCAGTGCATACAACTGCTATGTTCGTGTGACTCATTGTGTTGGTGCTTCAGGAGTAGGAAACCCCTGAAAGCTCTAGCAATTTCAGGGTTGTATGTTGGGGTGAGGGGAGACTAATACAGAAGGAGAAAAGTAGTAATCTGATCCCCACTCTCTGGAATCTTCTTTCTCTTATCATCAACCCTCTATATGTTAAAAAATGTGTCACCTGATTTTGCCAGTAAATCTTTTCCATAAATTTCAGCTCAGTGATTCTGCACTGAGTCTTCGGGTGAACTTCAAGTAATATAACTTTAATTTTCCTCTAATAATTTATATAACCTTTAATGATAACATGTCCTCCTCTTCTAGGGATATCAGATCCTTCATAAACTTAATTTTTTATATTATTTGGCCTTCATGTTTCCTTTGTGTGGTTGGCAAAAATGTCTTCTCTCTGAATGAAATTTCCAGATTACTTATAAAGTCACTCCTTTAAGGACCAGAATATTTTTTCCAACTGGATAAAAATTTGTCTAAAATATATTATTTGCTTATCTGCCTTCTTCAGCAATGCATATTGACTATGGAGGAATTTTTTTGTAGTTATTTAAGGGCAGTGGTAATAACACTATTATTTGCATAGTGTTGTGCCAGAATAAAATGTAATGAAAAGAAATGTACCTTTGTCCTGAAATTTCTTAAGTGATAGTGCTTTTTCACTTAAAAAAACTGTTTCATATGTGTCTATTTTAGTTTTCCTGTCTCCCCTCTCGGTGTTAAGTACCCCTTCTCTTCCCTACTTCTAATTTATTGCTATTAATTTGCTATGAGCAGAGAAAACTGATAACCACATTATCATCTTTTTCAGTATGAATGAACAGGTCCTAAATAAAGATAAATGAGTAAAATTGACAGCATTAAATGTGTGGGTGTTGTTATCACTCATAGCCTTTTTTTTCTCTTCTTTTTAGATCCTCTAAAAGGAAGCTTTAGGGCACTTTAAAACTCAAAATTTTAGAGACTCAAAATACAACTACAGCTGAGAATCTTTCCAAACTTTACTAAAAGAATTAGAATAGCATGTTAATCATGTATATGTCGATTCAGGAATATACCTCATCCATACTAGGGAAAAAATAGCTTCAATGTTCTCCAACAATGAGATTATTGAGACTGTAGTTTACTTACACTATTCTGCTGAACCTTCATGTCTGCTGTCAAAGTTAGACATGCTTGTAAGAAGTATTCATATAATGTCACTCGCTGTGTTCAACAGTTGAGATAATCTGGGGGGGGGGGGGGGGGGGAATAGGAAAAAACTCATTTGTCATAGTAAATTTTGTCAGAGTCCTGTCCCTAGATTAAGTGACAAGACGTGAAATGCAAAATGAGGCAGTACTCTAAGGCTCTGAATGTTTTGTGGAGAGAGATGTTTTCTACCTTGGAAGCTCAGAAAAAGCTTCCTGGAAGAGCTTCAGGGCCACTGAAGGAGGAGTTGTATCTGGAAGTAGAGGATTTGATATGGTGGCATGAGGAGGGTGGTGACTGTGCATTCTAAACAAGGGGACAGCATGAAGAGAAATGGTTTTTATCACTGGGCACAGAGAGAGGGCAGTAGGTGTGGGACTGGGTTGCAGCAGAGTGTGCCTGGAGGGGTCAGTTGGATATGAGATTCCAGGTCAATAGAGATGGTCAAAAAGCTGGGCTAGGGAGTGTAGAGTCATTTTCTGGACAGCAGAAAGCCATGAAGGATCTCTGATGATAGCAGTCATGCATCAGATAAATTAATCTCTCCAAGAAAAGGAAAATGAAAGGGAGGGAGAAAAAGTGCTGTATGAAAAGTGAACATCTAGGTGACAGGAAAGTTTACTAGTCCAAGTAAGAAATAATAAAGACAGTGTAAGGGATAAAATTGCCCAGGGAGATTGTTGAGAAAAGAGAGAGGTCATAGATGTATATTGAGAGAATTACTGTATTTGCCGTAAAGGGATGTTACAGGATCTTTGAAGTGTTGCTTTTCTGGCCGGAAACCTGTGGCTGGTGGCTCCTTTGCCTGAGTTTTGCTCGGGCCCACTGGGCTCATTGCACCCACTCTGCCTGCCAGGCTACACTCAGCTCATGCTGACGACCTGGATCACATGCCTCCAAGGGAGACTAGAGTAGAGCGTGGAGTGATGGGGGGTGTTTATGAGCGGGCGTGGGGTCTGATCACTGCACAGTCAGACATGCTGGCTGCTGCCATGAGGCAGGCAACTCCAGGTGCCAGCATAGGCACCAGCTTTCTGCGAGGCTGCGGCTGGACCAGGCGCACTGCAAGCAGCTTCCCCAGCTGGCACTAGGGAATGCAGTGGCACCCAGAAGCTTAGAGATGCCAGGAACCACAGGGCCCCAAAGAGGGAGTCACAGCTGTGGCTCGGGGAACTCCCAGGTCTGGGCTCCGTGAAGAGCTGCAGCTTTTCTCTCTCTTCACCCGCAATGTGGCAAGCAGTGGGCATGTTTCAGTCCTGTTTGTGTAACAGAAACTCTTTTAGCCTCACCACTCATCAGGTCCTGAGTTCTTGTCCTGCGACCAGGAAGAATGAGGTATGCAGACAAGTGGAGGGTGAGCAACACAGAGAGGAGCTTTAATTGAGCAATAGAACAGCCTAGAGAAGACTTGCACTGGACAGCTCCTCTCTGTAGCCAGGGTATCCCAATGAGTGTTCAGTTCCTAGCAGAGAGGGTAGTTCCTCTCTGCAGCTGTTCGGCCTGACGTGTATTTAGCTCTCAGCAGAGATGGCAGCTCCTCTCTGCAGCTGGTCATCCCATCCTGCAGCTCTTGGCAAGGAGGAGGCCCTAGAATAGGCGGTCCTCTCTACAGGCAGGTTTTCCCTTTGTCTGCCTCTCTTGGCAGAGATAGTAGCTCCATTCTGCAGCAGGTCGTCCCTTTGTCTGTCCTCTGCCCTGCTCTGGCTGAGCCCAGGTCTTTGATGGGCCTCAGAAGGAAGGAAGTGACCATTAATTTGTCCATGGGCAGCCATAGGTGGGTCCATTAAGGGCACCATAAGTCCCCCATCCTGGTCCACGGGACTAGCAGCCTGCCCCCTTGCCTTAAGGCCCTCCATGGCCTGAAAGTAGCGCTTCATCAGGGATGCTTCCCCTTCTGCCCAATAGCCCATCTGCCTCCTGCCAGCATCTCTGGTGCCCAGGTTGCTCAAACCAAGGGGCATCTGCAGGCCAGTGCTCAGCCACTCTCAGCACCCTCCCTTGACCTCCCCCCCATGCTTGTCAGTACCCGAAGTCCAGAGAGGGCTGAGGTAGCAGGGAGCTGGCATGTTATTGCTGCCTCATGTGTGCACACACCTGGTCGGGCAATGGCAGTGCTCAGGCTTGGCCTCAACTCTACTCCAAAATCAGAGCAGGTACCAGGAGCAGGGAGACGCCAGGCAGCGGGAGCAGTCCTCTCCAAGCCTTCAAGGGTAAGGGGAGGACAGAGAGGCCTGGGTCCAAAGCCCTGACTTGGGCTTCTGCCTGCTCCTGGCTGTAGTGGCTCCATGGAACATGAAGCCCAGCTGCACCCACTCACAGCCTGGGGCAGGGGCTGTAGGTCCTCGCTGGGCCTAGGCCAGTGTCAAGGCAAGGGCAGCATCACAGGCTCCCCCAGTGGCCCTGGCATTCAGGGGCAGCCAGGAGCTCCCCCTTGCCGGGATTGTGACCCTGCCAAATGCACACCTCCAGGAGTAGATTGCAGGCCCTGGCCTGGCCATCAGGAGTGTCAGGCCTGGTGGTCACCCTGATGCAGGGCAGACCCTGGGGACAGAGCCCCGGGTGGCCCTGTACAGAGCCTCATCCCAAGGCACAGGGACCCTGCACCGCTGGCTGGTCTCCAAAGCGGGCGTTGCAGTCAGCTCCCTCGGGGACATGGGGCACAGGGGACCTACCATCGCCATTGCTGCTCTTGCAGCCACTTCTGCTGCCACCATCCGTGCCTCCCCACTGCGGACGGCCTGCTGCTGCCATCAGGAGGAGGAAGAAGTTAGAAAGAGGCAGAAGGTATAATAATTTTCTAAACTATTGTCTGCAATCCATTCATGGATCCCCAAATCACTTCAGTGGGTTGCAACCAATGGATCAGTCAAGACAGACTAGACTGCACTATAATAACACAGTGTCAGTGGCTTTTAACAACAAAGATTTGTTTCTTGTTCATGATGCAAATCCTTTGAGGGCATGCTGCCCCTATGAAGATCTCTCTATGCAGGCTTTCTCCAGAATCCAGATTGGTGGAGTAGTGTCTATCTTGAATGTTCAAGTCCCATGGCAGAGGATCTAAAGGGAATAGTGAGCCACACCTGCATTTTCAAACCTCTTCCTGGAAGTGACAATTGTCACTCCTCAAATTTTATTTGACAGAGCAAATCATATGACCAAGTCAGCCATCTATGAGGCTGTGAAGTACAGTCCTCCCCAGAGAATGAAAGCATATGTTTGTGACCAATAAAACGGTGTTTTTAAACAATGTATAATAAAATAGAAGAAAAATATATTGTAGTAAAGGCATTATACAACTTTTGTTTCACTTTTTATGCGTGTGTGTTGATAACTTAGATTACAATGTCAAATGTATATCTCGCTGTGAGTCAAGGTAAAAAAAAGTTTGAAAAGCATTCATCTGGACTACAGTACACCACAGCAGCTAAGAACAGAGCAAGAAGGTCAAGAAAGGGGTAGATATATGGAGGATTAAAGATGGCCACAGATTTTTTTTTTTTTTGTCATTCCTCTCTCAAGAGATGAAGCCTGTTTCCCTTTCCCTTTAAATTTAGGCCAAGCATGTGACTTGCTTTTACCAACAAGATACAGCGGGTACTTCTTTCTGGTACCCTCAAGTCCAGGCCTTAAAAGGACTGGGAGCTTCTGTTTTCTTCCTCAGAAGCCAGCTACCATGTAAGAAGGCCAACTGCCCTGAGACCACGAGGCTGAGAGAAAGCCCAAGCTAGCTATGGAAGATCATGAGGCACCAGGCCTGAGTGAAACCTCCTTGCACCTTCCAGCCCATCTCAGCCCAGCCCATCCACCACTGAATGCAGCCAAGTGAGTGACCCCAGCCCACACCACATGGAGCAAAAGAACCATCCAGCTGAGCCCTACTTGAGTTCCCGACCCACAGCATTGTGAGAAAGGATAATCATTGTGATTTTAAACCATAAGTCTAGAGATGCTATGTTATATAGCAGTAGATAATTTAAATAAGGTGCAGGGTTGAATGTAGCACATGTTGACAGCTTCAGGCTTCTAGAGTAAAAAGTTCTTGATGACCTTGAAGACAGACTTTTTAGTGAAATAATGGGACAAGAGGGTTGCAGGAAGTTAGGTGATAAATGGATAGTGATTCCATTGGCCAGTGAAGGGGAGAAGAACACATGATAATTTAAGGAAGAAGCTGGTCAAGGGAACTTTTTTCCCTATAATTGGGGGAGAATTTAACTTATGCTGAGGGGAACAGCCCAAGCACAGATGCTGAAGATGAAAGACATAGGAACTTATCTTGGAACAGGTTTCCTTCCATTTGTCTTTTAAGTCTACACACTTGAAAACTTGGAAAATTGAATTTCTCTTAATATTTGTATCTTTGCATAAGTGGTTTCCCTTTTCCCTGGGGTGTAAGGGGAATGTATATTACATATTTGGTTCTCCTTTTCCATCTAGAAAAAGTCTAGCTCAATTTTTAAAATTGATGTGATTGTCATTACTAACAGTGAATATTACCTAACATTCATTTGTAATTTACACAACATGTTCACATGTAATGAGTTATTTTAACAATCTGATTTTCCCCATCTTAAAGATGAGACTGAAGTGCCAAGGAGTCACGTGTCCAACTCATATGTCAACGGGTAGAAAGTAGCAGAGCTGGGACTCTGTGTTCTGTTTTCTAATTTCCCCTTTACCTGTTTTCTAGGGGAGTTAATTAGAGAGGTGATGATTACAGGTGGTCAGAATAAGTTGTTTTCACAAATCACCAAACTATTTGGCCTAAACGTAAAATTTCTATTTATTTATTTTTTTTTTTTGTATTTTCGGTAGAGACAGGGTTTCACCTTGTTGACCAGGATGGTCTCGATCTCTTGACCTCGTGATCCACCCGCCTCGGCCTCCCAAAGTGCTGGGATTACAGGCATGAGCCACCGCGCCCGGCTAGCTTTTTTTTTTTTTTTTTTTTTTTTTTGAGTTGGAGTTTTGCTCTCATTGCCTAAGCTGGAGTACCATGGCGCAATCTCAGCCCACTGCAACCTTCACCACCCGGGTTCAAGAGATTCTCCTGCCTCAGCCTCCCAAAGTGCTGGAATTACAGGCGTGAGCCTGCGCCTGGCCTGTTTTTAATATTTGAGTTCTTCAAATACACAAGGAGTGTTTTAGTAAGAATCAGGCGAATGCATTGGGAGGAGTTCGGAGAAAACAGAGAAATGACAGCATATGTGAGTGTTCTGGAGCATAGGAGATAAAGGGAGCTGTTAAGGCCTGGACCAAGGGCAAAAATGAAACTGAAAAGATAGTAAATCAGAGTCCTAGAATTCAGCTGGGGACAGAAGGGGTATGAGGGAAATTGGAGGATTCTACAAACATAGTGCATAGCAGTTTGGCAGTTACCTCTATGTGACCCATTAATAAATCCTGTTGTGTGAAAAACACAGGCTTAGACAATCAGCAACTAACTACTCTGATTTGTGAAAGATATTCCATTTCAGAAAATAGTCGATGTCTTACTTTTAGAAAAGTTTGTATCGTATATGATGAAATGCTATTTTTCCAGTCATTTATGCATCTATTTAAATATATATGTATCTGTATATGTGTGTGCACACACACATTATCTTTTCTGAATTACCCAGGAGAAACCTTGCTAAAAACTAGACACATGGACAGTTTCAACTTTTCAACTTCAGCCATTTTTAGTTATCTGCATATTTTTTTAAATCCTGAAATTGCTTTCAAAGTGGAAAAATTGTGTGGGCTTTTTTCATCTTTTCATAACTCAAAAACGACTTAATATGTTTTTCTGAAACTTCACAAAAAAAGAAAAAAATCACCTTTGGGCTGAAACCAAGCATGGAAAATTTCACCACAAAGGGCTAATTTTTTGGAAAGCTGCAAGAAAGTGAAAACAGGACTTTATAATAGAGCATTCTTCATGCATGTTAATACTTAGTACTTTATCTAATGCATTTCATCTGAGAATTCCTGAACACTTTTCAGATTGAAATATTGAGCCATTTTAATATTTGTGTACCCATGATATACTGTCAGATGTCAAAAAGTTCCCCCATCCTCTCAGATGTCCAGTAGCTTGGGAATTAGTGAGATGTGTTTAAAATGACAGGTAGGGCAAATGAAGTTAAGTGACTGCTGGCCAGAGAAAGCCATATATTTGCTGCCCAACACATTTTATCACTACCTCTTCTTGGCCCAGGAGTACTGTAGTTGTAAGTAAAATACAATACAGTAGATGACACCAGGCACTAATTTGAATAAGCCAGCATGCCTCCAAGTAGTATCAACATCCCTTGTGATCTTGTTAGAAATGCAAATTCTTGCCCCTCTCCACACCTCAAGTGGCGGGGCTTACCAACCAGCACTTAACAAGCACTGCAGGTGATTCTGATACAGGCTTAACTTTGAGAACCACCTACCTAAGCTTTCCAAAAGCTTGGAACAGAACACATTGAAATGCTGTGGACAACTAAATCTGTCCTCGGTCTTTCTGTGATGTCAGCTCTGTCTTCTCATATCCCTTGGAAGCAGGAGGAATACAAATCAAATTCTCTGAAGGAAAGATCTTCTATATTAATGTGTTCTAGCTCTTTCCACCTATGATGTTGTCCATAAGCCCAGAGACTCCCTTGAGTGAAGGTGCTGGTGTCAGCTTGTTCGGGGTAACAGCACTATCAAGATGTATTTTCTCATTTCCTTGAATTATCAGGGTTAAAACTAGAATGGGACTATATATTTCTTTCTTATTTCTTTGAATTCTTTTAAGTTCTAAGATGTAAACAGCAAGGTATCAGACCTGTCAGTGGAAGCTGATTTAAGCCCTGCTCCTTGGTGTGTAAGTTCTCGATCTGATGCTTTGCAGTAGCATTCTGCAGTTCAGCAAACTCCAAGGTCTGTATTGTTGTGTCTTGAGGCACTGAAGTAGTTGCTTGAGAATATTACCATGGTGATGGAAGTCGCTAGTCTGTGGTATGTGGACCTTTAGCTAATTCTTTTAGCCTAGGTTAATTTCTTACTATAAATAATTTGTAGAAATTCATAAAAAGTACAGCAAGTTCTCAAAGATGCAAAGGATGTGAACAGATAATTCACTGAAAAAGTAGCTAGTTTATCAAAAAGTGTGTGCCTACCACAATGTGTGATACAGTGTTTAATGAATTAGTACATAGTAATATACTTAATGATGTCTGTTTATGTTGAGTATAGTAGTATTTGCTAATGTTCATTTGATGAATGAACCTCAACAGTTATCAAAATTAACTATTACTATTACATAGTCTAAAATTACATGGGGAACCTAAACTTTAGGTTGACCCAGAAGAAAATTTGTGTTGTGTATTTGTATACTTATATACATTTTTAGAAAATTCGAACAGGTAAATACCAGGTGGCTTATAGTATTTTCTGTGTAGTGGTTAAGGGTAAAGCTTGTATTGGAGTGAAAACTCTATATTGTTTCTCCTTTTCTTTATAATGACCATGTGTTATCAGAAAAAAAATTTCCATTAAAAAAAAGTATTCATGCCCTTTGAACCTATTAATTCTTTTCTTTGGAATTTATATTTAGAAAACAAAGATAGAGAAAATCATGTGCAAAAATACTGTTAAAACAAAAAATTGGAAACATCCTAATGTCTAACCTTAAAGGCAACGCTAAGTAGAGTATGGAATGTATAGCCATTAAAATTATGTTTTCAAAAGACATTGTAATACATAAAAGTTAATTATAGAATATTAAAGATGTCAGAATACATAGAGAATATGTGAATACAACTGTATAAAAATTACACATGGAAAAGCTTGATAATAAAATTATAAAATAAATTTAGTGATTGTATTTAAGTGATGAATTTGAGGATTATTTACTATTTTTTCTTTTTGAATTTTCTGTAATGGCATGTATTTACTCACTATTATAGTCATTTAATAGTCATCTTTTTTCTTTTAAAGTGATTTGGTCATGTTACTTTACAGCAGAAAGTTGTTCCAGGAGAGATCTTTGTTTTTAAATTTAATTTAATTTTAGATTCAGAGGGTACATGTGCATGTTTATTACATGAGTATATTATGTAATGGGTGGGGGATTGGGCTTCCAGTGTACCAGCTACCCAAATAGTGAACACTGTACTCAATAGGTATAACTTATGTTCGCGTTGTATATTGTCAAGTTCAGTGCAGTCCTTCTTAGGGCTCAAATTATCCTACAAGGCTCATGTTAAATACTAACCTTCTTAAGTCCTTTTGGGTACAAGATAGTTTATAAATAGACAAAAGAACAAATAAGTCATTAGCCAAAT